CGCCGCGCATGTGCACCACGCGTGGGGCACCGCTGCACATGTGCACCGCACGTGGGGCGACACCGCACATGTGGGCCGTGCGTGGGGCGCCGCCGCACATGTGCGCCGCGTGTGGGGCGGCGCCGTGCATGTGCACAACGCGTGGGGCGACTTCCAATTTTACGTGGGAGAAAACCCGAATAACCAAAGATCTATATACATATATACATATATACATATATACATATATACATATATACATATATACATATATACATAGATACATAGATACATAGATACATAGATACATAGATACATATATACATATATATATATATATATATATATATATATATATATATATATATATATATATATATTTTCTTGGTAATTTATATAACACCTGCTTGGTAATTTATGTAACACTCCTGAATGATAAAATAATAAAATAGAAAAAAGTACCATATTTTCAAGTTTATAAAACACATGAACCATAAACTAATTAGCTTATTGAAAACTGGAAAAAAATGGGAAAAGCTAAATATGACGCATATTATTGGCTATGTTAACCAGACACATTAATCATATTTTAGCCAAGTGTTGTGCAAATGCAGCCAGTGAGATTGTATACTTATTAGTTGAGCCAATTCAGATGGCAGCAGATCTCACATTGTCTTGTTATATAAACCAATGCCATCCCTATGAAATCTTAATATATTTTGTCATACAATTATCCAATTTTTACATTTTGCTATTATTATTGTTATTAATAATAATAACATTAAGCCACCACCTGACTTCTATTGACTATGGGTAGTTTACAAATTGTTAAACATATTTAAAAACAAGGAACAATACAAAAAGCACAAAAACACAAAACAAAGGAACAGTTATGGCAGAGAAAACAAACAAGGAAAAGGAAGAAGGGGGACACACATTTTGACACATTGCTCCTCGAAGCACGAAGCTGAAAGCACCAGCCTGAAGATGATGAATGGGACTTCGTCGAAACGTCGCCAAGACACTTCCAATTTTATGCGGGAGAAAACCCGAACAACCAAAGACCTACATACAAACACCCGCGAAAACCTCAGAAAACATATATATATATATATGTATATAAACTTATATTCAAAAGCTATTCCAAGAATTCAAAAGCTATTCCAAGAATGTATTAATGATTTTTTGGGGGAAATCATACTTGTCAATTGTTTTCCTCTTTCAGAGACAGGATCACATGCTTGACATCTCTAAATTTCTTGAACTGACTGCAGAGTTAAAGCTGTTCTTCTGTCTCTGATTAGTCAGGAAACAGTTGTCTCAGAAAAGGAAGAACACGCTGCTACTTATTTTGTCAAACTCTAATTGCATACACTCACAAATGAATATGTTACATTCTCTCCTTTAAAAAGGCATATTATTTTGCTTAAATGTCTTGGTATATTTTGTTTGAATTTGCCATTTTGAACAAACATCTTTTTGTTCTAACTGCTCTACAGTGACCCATAAGTTTAGACTTTTCAGCATGTACAATCCACCAATACAGGGCATAAAACAGTATAAAACTCCACAGAATTTCACAGAACAGATTAACAGAATGATAGAATTAGAAGGGACCTTGGAGGTCTTCTAGTCCAACCCTCTGCTCAAGCAGGAAATCCTATACCATTTCAAATAAATGATTGTTCAATCTTTTCTTAAAAACTTCCAGTGTTGGAGCATTCATAACTTCTGGAAGCAAGTTGTTCCACTGACTAATTGTTTCAATTGTCAGGAAATTTCTCCTTAGTTCTAGGTTGCTTCTCTCCTTAATTATTTTCCATCCATTACTTCTTCTCCTGCCTTTCAGGTGCTTTGAAGAATAGGTTGATTGCCTCTTCTTTGTGGCAACCTTGGATGTTGGAACACTGCTATCATGTCACTGCTAGTCCTTCTTTACATAGACATATCCAATTCCAGCAACCGTTCTTTATATGTTTTACCCTCCAGTCCCCTAATCATCTTGGTTGCTCTTCTCTGCATTCTTTCCAGAGTCTCAACATCTTTTTTACATTGTGGTGACCAAAACTGGATGCAGTACTTAAAGTACTAAATGGTGTGGGATAAAGTTTAGTCAGATAAATCCTATCCTACCCATCTCAGTTTCAAAATGGAGACTAAACTGGAGGAGAGCTGCATTCCAGGCAAGTGAGGAGAAAACATTTATTTGACATATGAAAGCACAACCATGACCATTTTTCTGTCTTCTTTCCTATGTAACTGCAAGTTGTTTATGCTTCCTCTTTTATTTTATTTTTTTTGATCATAGGACTAATTTTCTATTTTCTGTGACCCACCTGCAAAATGTTCAGTAGTGAGCCCAGTGTAAGTGTTCGTATGTTATGACAATCCAGAAGACTATTGTTCTTGGAGGTTATGGATTATATGGGCATGCTATAATGAGACACTAAAAGATTCCTTATGCTGTGAGCTGGCAGGTTGAAATGTATCACTGTTGATTCTGCTGACCTCTCAGGATACATCTGACATCCTTAAGCTTTAGCATATTTATGTGTATACAGGTTGTGTTACAACTAGAGTCAATTCGGTTGATTTCAGTAATTGACTCAATGGTGGTTTCTTATCAAATATAGAAGTGTTCTACTTAAGGAATACTACTGAATTTTCCTTCATCAACACTGAAGGTAGGACACTGAACCACATTAGTGCAAGTTCTCTTCTATTTATGACAGAAATAATACTGTGGTGCTATTTAGAGGTCTCAGAAGAGCTATGAAAGAGATCCTTGGGACAGTAAGGAAAAGATTTAGCTTGTCATTTTGGACATCTAAATCAAAGACTCTTCATTTGACTTCTTGTGAATCTCTATTGGGAACAAATGATATTAGGAATAGAAATGGGAAGCCTCATAAAATATATCTTTGGGGATGCTTTTTCCAAAAGAAAATAAACCTATCAGCAAAAATAAGCTAAGTCATAAAGCCACCCCAAAAGATTTGATTTAATCAAGACTGCAGGTGGAAAATTCTTCAAATGGGTTGGTTATGGAAAGGTAATCAGTAATAATTAAGAAACTCTCCAAGGCTTTGCTGAGATTAGATTTGCTTCTTCTTTTTTTGCCATTACTTTCCCTGTGCTCCAAGTTAAAAAAAAATCCCAAATCAATCTAAAGGCTAAGAACAATATCACTTCCTCATTACACCAGTGGTTATAATTGATTTCCAAAACATAGTTTCAAATAAAAGGATTTTCTAATGTTGCTGCAGTGCTTAAAAGAGATAACCTTGCCCTTCTCTTTAATTTGCAATTTACAGTAGCATCTCTGTCTAAATTTGCTAGTTTTTATTTGTAACTTAAGCAACACTTCTGTGTCAATTATACATACCTCTGTTTACTAGATAGTGAGACAGAGGTAGAGGTAGAAGTAGAGATACGCACAGACACACTTACTTAGGTGACAGCACCTAGATGACATTGTTGAGGCTTTGAACTAAGCAAGATTGGACTAGTTTTGTATTTGGATGAAAATCACTCCCAAGAAACAATCCTCCATGTTTCATTGCCTCTTCCAAGTCAGAATGCAAAGGAGTCTGCTCCAGACAAATGGTATCCTCAAGACACCAAGGGCAGCAATCTAGCACCTAAGCTGACTCTGCTAGCAGTGATCCAGAAAATGTGCAGGATGAATCAGATGATGGAGGCCCTTAGGTCCACCAAGCTCAAGAATGTGTCATGAACTCCAAAAAGCCAAGCAAAGGCACTCAACTCAGCTTGCATTGGTAAGTGATAACTATACAACCACCGGCACCCAGTTTGTCATTTGAGAACACAAGTTTTGACCTGAGCTTAATGCTTTTGTATCTCTGAATACCATATGCTGGTTGTTTAAAATGGTGGCCATATACATTTTTTAAATAAATAAAAAAAATCTTGACTTTTAAAAAGGGGTATCTTTCTCTGATAACTGGATATTTTAATTGCTTTGTACTTTGTCTATGCTCTAATTTGGCTTTATACTCCCACAACAAGGCAATGCTTCCATGTTGCTGCCCAGCAAAATGCTTTGATATGTACACTATATGAAATCACCTGGTCAAGGGCATGATTCACAGAAGACTTCAGTTTTTACACACAATGCAAATCAGACTATTGAATTTGGGAAACAAATATTGCAGCCATTAGTTCAGTGTCATTCAGTAGAGAAAAAATAATACTGAGAGAGACAATGGGGTTGCCATAGCAATTTATGGGGCAAACTTCATCAATAACTATCTTCTAGGAGATTTATTCTTGAACAAAAGATACAGAGATCTCAAAAGGAAAGATAATAACATATGTTAGAAAGATAGAGCCATACTCTTATTTCTTTTTGCTGAAGAAATAAAAAGTATATATCTAATTTAATATACTTACAATCGACATTTCCCCCCCTAAAAGACATGCTTCATCAGGGTCCTCCTCAAAGAGAGGACGAACCTGATGAAGCATGTCTTTTAGGAGAAAAACACAGAAATAATGTATACAAGAACTTAAAAATTACTAATATTTCTTGAGAGTGAAAGTAAATGAGGTGGTATTATATATAAATTAATGTTTGTAAACAAATATGAATTAGAGAAATTACTATATCTGAGTTTATTGTACAAGCCTATTTCAACATTCAAAACACGTATAAGTTTTGGGTGGGAGGCTAGAAAGGTGAGACATATACAAAACATTTCCAGCAGCTGAAAAATGAGTATTAGTGTTTTAGAAAATATCAGGCAAATTACTTGAAATGTTTCTTGAAATACTATACTTATAGGTACTTATCCACTAGAATTTATCTGAAGCACAAGTAGCTTGTCTATTCAACTTGTGCCAAAATCTGATGGATCAGAGCCCAGGGGGTTAGATTTGTACTCTAACCTTTCCAACCCATTTTTTGCCTGTGATTGCAGTAATCAGAACTGGCAAGCATTATAGGAACAAGATTAAAATTCAGAAAGCTAAATCCTGACATACAATACACTGAGAAAATAATGAACAGTAACACTGCTCAAGAGACACAAGCATATCATCCACAGATCATGAAACTGAGATATTGCACCACGCCCGGGGGGACCCTCTTCTCCACCACGCCCGGAGGTACCAGAATCATTTACGACCGCAAGTTTCTGTTAGATCGGCGCAATTCTCCCATGGCTCAAACCCCTCCTTGCCACCTTCCCAATATCCCAGGAGTTACCAGTCCTGGTTCTGTGACAGAAGATTCCAAAGTGGAAGTAAATAATCTGAACAATCATGATGGGAAGCCTATAATTGTTGGTCTCAAAACAAAACCATCTTCTTGTAATATCGACCTTGCTCCTTTGACTATCATCTGCTTCCAGAGGGCCTCTTTTGGGGGCACCCTCACCTGTTGGACATCCAGCGTCTCCCCCATTGGGGTGCTGACTCTCCGCTTTGTAACAACTGCATGCTCCCTGTTTAGGGGGAGCTTCTAATGACAGAATTTATTCTGAACTTTCCCCCTGCAACAACTGTAACAACTGTTGTCTGCCATTTTAGAGAATGTCTGTTGTGAGTATGTGCATGTATGCAGATGAATGGTTGCCCTGTTAGTTATAAATTTTATTATTGTATTTAAGGGTGTATGAATGTGAATTATTTTTATGTATATTAACTGAATGTGAATGTGTATGAGTGTTTGTGGTAGGAGAATGGTAGAGCCAGGGGCGGAGCCTGGTGCCCCCTCTGCTGAGTGCAATAGCAAAAGCAGGGGGGGCAGGACTTACCCTTGGGCTTGGTGTGCATGGAAAGTTAGTCAGGTCGGGAAGGGAGAAGGTTGGTGAGGGTGGGGGTACTCCAGGGATGGGAAAAGGTCAGAGCATCCCGGTTATGACTGGGATGGGCAGATATGGCAGGAGCCGAGGGGCAGGCCATTTTCGGGGAACGAGGACTCACTATATTAGAGCGATTCCTTGTTCTGGCCCCTCAAAAGGCCCATCCTGTGACAGGGGAGTACAGGGCCCTAGTACAGGGGAGTACAGGGCCCTAGAGTACAGGGCCCTGCTGTTGCTTAATGCCAGGTCCATTGTCAACAAAGCGCCCCTTGTCCGTGATTTAATATTAGATAGGGGGGCGGACCTGGCATGTATAACCGAAACCTGGCTGGGCCCCGAGGGGGGTGTTCCCCTCTCGGAGATGTGCCTGGATGGGTTTGTGGTGTTTCATCAGCCTCGACATTAGGGCAGGGGTGGGGGAGTGGCAGTCATCGCTCGGAGGTCCCTGAATCCTCGTAAGATCCCTGCCCCGGAGATTGTTGGTTATGAGTCCCTCCTATTGAAGTTGGGTTCACGGGTTCAGTTGGGCTTGTTGCTGATGTACCTACCTCCCAGCTGCATCGCAACAGCCCTGCCTGTGCTGCTGGAGTCAGTAGCCGGGTTGGCGGTGGAGTTCCCCAGACTTATGATACTGGGGGACTTTAACCTGCCATCACTCGGCAAACGCTCAGAGGCAGTGCAAGAGTTCATGGCTTCTATGGCAACCATGGACCTGACCCAAGTAATCCAGGATCCGACTCATAGGGGTGGTCACACACTCGACCTTGTGTTTTTCTCGGGGCAGTGGAGACATGATCTGGAACTAAGGGGAATAGAGATCTTTCCCTTGTCATGGACAGATCATTTTCTATTGAGGCTGGACTTCAGAGCATCACTCCCCCACTGCAGGGAGGTGGAGCCGACTAGGTGGTTCTCCCCCAGGTGCCTAATGGACCCAGATCAGTTCCAGGAGGAGCTTGGGGAAATACCTGACTCCCTTGTCCACAACTCGTCCGGGTCCCTGGTTGCGGCCTGGAATGAGGCGGCATCCGGGGCCCTGGATCGAATTGCGCTTTTGCGACCTCTCTGTGGTAGTGGTCCCCGGAGGGCGCCTTGGTTTACTAAGTAGCTCCGGGAGATGAAGTGCCACAAGAGACGTCTAGAGCGACATTGGAGGGCCAGTAACTCGGAATCTGACCTATCACTATTAAGAGCCTATCTTAGGACTTATTTAGTGGCGATAAGGGCGGCAAAGCGTGTTCACTTTTCCACACTTATTGCGTCCGCAGAATCTCGCCTGGCCGCCTTGTTTAGGGTGACCCGCTCCCTTCTTAAAATGGAGGAGGCGGAGGAACCCTTGCAGGGGAGAGCTGAGGAGTTCTTTCAGACAAAATCGCTCAGATTCAGAGGGATCTGGACTCCGACTGGGCAGTGCCAGCCGAGATGCCGTGGGCTGGTCTTAGTCATGTTATCTGGAGCGAGTTTGAGCCTGTGACCCCTGATGAAGTGGACAAGGCCGTGAGGGCAATGAATGCCACCACCTGTTTATTGGACCCGTGCCCTGGCTGGTTTCTGCCAGTAGGGAGGTGACACGAGGCTGGCTCCAGGCAATAATCAACACCTCTTTGATGGAGGGGTCTTTCCCGCAACCTTTGAAGGAAGTGGTGGTGAGGCCCCTCCTCAAGAAGCCTTCCTGGACCCAGCTATTTTGAAGAACTTTCGTCCTGTCTCCAGCCTCCCCTTTGTGGGGAAGGTTGTAGAGAAGGTGGTGGCATTCCAACTCTTGCGATCCTTGGATGAAACGAATTATCTGGACCCTTTTCAACCTGGCTTCAGGCCCGACTACAGCACTGAGACTGCTTTGGTCGCACTGACCAATGACCTCTGGCGAGCCCGGGATAGGGGTCATTCCTCTATCTTGGTGCTTCTTGACCTCTCAGCGGCTTTCGATACCATCGACCATGGTATCCTTCTGCGTCGTCTCGGAGAGTTGGGGGTGGGCGGCACTGTATTGCGGTGGTTCTCCTCCTACCTCTCTGACAGGTCGCAGTCGGTGTTGGCAGGCGGACAGAGATCGACCCCTAGGCGCCTCGATTATGGGGTGCCTCAAGGTTTGGTCCTGTCCCCCCTCCTTTTTAACATCTACATGAAACCGCTGGGTGAGATCATTCGGCGACACGGGGTGAGGTATCATCAGTATGCGGATGATACCCAATTATATATCTCCACCCCATGTTCTTTCAGTGAAGCAGTCGACGTGATGTGCCGGTTCCTGGAAGATGTGAGGGTCTGGATGGGGCTGAACAGGCTTAGACTCAACCCTGACAAGATCGAGTGGCTCTGGGTCTTGCCCCCCAAGGGTCATTCTGATGGTCCATCATTAATCCTGGGGGGGGGAAATTTACCTCCCTCAGTGCAGGCACGCAACTTGGGTATCCTCCTGGACTCACAGCTAAATTTGGAACAACATCTATCGGCTGTGGCCAGGGGGACCTTTGCCCAGGTTCGCCTGGTGCACTAGTTGCGGCCTTATTTGGACCGGGAGGCTCTACTCACGGTTACTCATGCCCTTGTCACCTCAAGACTGGACTACTGTAATGCGCTCTACATGGGGCTACCCTTGAAGAGCATTCAGAGGCTGCAGTTGGTTCAGAATGCAGCCGCGAGAGTGATTGTGAGTGCACCAAGGTACACCCACGTGTCACCTATCCTCCGCAAGCTGCACTGGCTTCCTGTGGGTCTCCAGACACAATTCAAGGTGTTGGTTGTCACCTTTAAAGCCCTTCATGGCTTAGGACCAGGTTACTTACAGGACCGCATACTGCCGCATAGTTCCCAGAGACCGGTGAGGTCCCACAGATTGGGCCTCCTTCAGGTCCCGTCGGCCAGACAATGTCGGCTGGCGGGCCCTCGGGGAAGGGCCTTTTCTGTGGTGGCTCCGACGTGGTGGAATCAACTTCCCCCTGAGATTCGAACTACTCCCACCTTTCCGGCCTTCAAGAAAGCTATTAAAACTCTCCTGTTCCAGCAGGCCTGGGGTTGATGTCCCCGGGGGGGGATTCAATTGGGACATGCTGTGTGAATGTATTCATTTTTTTAATTGTTATATTTGTTGTTTTAATTTTGTACGCCGCCCTGAGTCCCTAGAGATTGGGCAGCATATAAATTTTATTAATAAATAAATAAATAAATAAAATATTTTCATTATTTTATTTATAAGCTGCCTGACTCTGGATGGTTTACAACTAAAATGCCAACAAAAAATATATACTTTCAAAGAAAAAAATGTAGAGCAGCAAGGTTATGTCAAGCAGAAACTCTCTCTAGAACAGAGGTCTCCAAACTATGGGTCGCGGCCCACTACCAGGCCATGGTCTCTTGGCCACCGGGCTGTGCGAGTAGCTGGGTAGTGAACGTGTGTGTGCGTGTGCATGTGCTCAACCCCCGCATGCCACCATTGCCGTGATGTTGTGCGGGTGGTGGCAGTGCCGCTAGTATCACGTGGGCAGCGGCATTGCCACAAACCTTGTGTAAGAGGCAGCAGTGCCATGAGCGGCAGGTGGGTGACAGTGCATCACACAAAGGTGGCAGCATTGCCACAAATGTGCGGGCAGCAGCAGCACTGCAAATCGGGCTGCAATGCGATACTTGCGTGGGGGTGGTGATGCAAGCCTCACACCAGGGCGGCATCACTGTGGGCCGCAGTGTGATCCTCGCGCTGGTGGTAGTATCGCTATGAGCCTGGCAGTGGCACCACAAACCTCACACAGGTGCTGCCATGCTGAGAGCCTCATGCAATGCTTGTAGCCCCATTTGCATGGTGCACATGCTCGCAGCCTGTTTGTACACATGCGCGCATGTATGGCCACATTCACGTTTCTGCATGTGCACATAAGATACCTGCACCTCCCTCTCCCACCGGGCCACCAATCCGAAAAAGTTGGAGACCCCTGGTCTAGAGTTGCCAACAATCCATTCTAATCAGTCAGACACTTCCCCTGAAGTTCTCTATCAAGATCTAGATTACTGCTAGACAGTTTGTTCTCTATATCCAAAAGATGGGGAATCCTATGACTCTCCATAAGTTACTCAACTACTAGCAGCTCCAGCAAGCAAGGCCAAATGATAATGGTTGTTGAGACTTATGATATACAACATTTAGAAAGCCAAATGTTTGCTATTTTGACTCAACACAAATCAAAATATAATATTAAATATCTCAAATAGTAACATGCTAAAAATTGAAATAGCACTTTCTGATGCAGACCTACCAGTATCTCAACAGGATTAAACATTGGGTCAATCAGTTACTAGTAGGAACATTTCAGTTACTGACAAGAAACCCTTTCCAAAATTGCTACTTATCGCAGAGGAAAACAGGGGTAATGTAGGCCTGCATTTAGAAGAGCTTTCTATATATAATATAATCAATAATCAAAGCAGGCACAAATTCACCAACATTGTTCGAATTTAACACTGTAAGGTTTAACATGAAGTGCCTAAAACACTTATCCATCACGACAGCAATGTATTTTCTCTTCCTTTGAGTACCCCAGATATTTAATCTGGCATGTCAACAAGCTTTGTAGAATACTGTTAAAAACACTCTAGTTTTTAGGACGCTAATTGTTTGAGTTTATTTTAAATGATCAAAGGCTTTCTTGAGTCACAACAGAAACCGCTACAGTTTCAGCTGT